GATCGATGGCCACCCGGCTGCCCATGTCGATGCCTATGTTCATGTCCCGCATGCCAAAGTCGTCGCGGCCAGGGTACTTGAAGCTGCGGGGCGAGGCAGGTGTGAGGCAGGGGAGGTGGAGGCGAGGAGGCCGAGGTGGGGCGGCTCGGGAGGGCAGGGTGTGTGGGGGAGTCCAGGAGGCGGGCGGGCGAAAGCGGGCGGTGGGTTGGAAGGAGAGGAGAGGGCCGGCGGGCCGGCGGGGCAGGACCAGGGCGGCGCGACAGGCAGAGCGCCAGAGCTCCCCACCCACACCCACACCCACACCCACATCTACCCACCCACCACCCACACACACACACACACGTCCCCCGGCGTTGCCGCGGCGGGCCCCCACCTGGCGTCGATGAGCTGCAGCAGCGGCGGCGGCAGCTCCGTGGGCTCCGGGAACTCAAAGTGGACGGTGTAGTCGTTCCACTGGCGCGGTGTGTCGCCCGCCGCCGCCTCGCCGCCGCCGCCGCCGCCGCCCTGCTGCTTGGCCTTGACCTTGGCCTTGTGCTTGGCGCCCTTCTCCACCTGCACAGCGGCGCGGCGGTGCAGGAGGGGAGGGCAGGCGGGGGGGGGGGCGGGGGGCGCATCAGGGGCAAGGGGCCTGCCAGGCGTGCGAGGCGTGAGGCAGCGCTTGCCTGGCCTGGCGCTGGCAGCCATCGCGTTTGGAGGCAGCGCAGGCGCTGGCAGCCAGCGCGCGTGGAGGGGGAGGGCAGGCGGCGTAGGGCGCACCTTGTCCGCCGCCGCCTTGCTGCCGCTCTTCTTGGCCGCCTTGAGCTGCTTCTGGTACTTCTCAAACTCCTTGTTCACCTCCCGCCGCCGCTGCTCGTACATCTCCTCAAACTAAAGGCAGCAGGGAGGAGGGCGGCGGGCAGGCAGGCCGGGCGGTGAGTGGGAACGGGAGGCGGGGAGAGCAGGCGGCTGGGCTGGGAAGGGGAGGCCGGCCAGCTGGCAGCCAGCAGCGCAGTCCCGCGCGCTCTCGTCCCTGCCCCGCTGGCCCCTGCACCCCCACCCCGCCCCACCCCCACCCTCCCCGCCCCCACCCAGCCGCCCCCACCTGCGCAAAGTTGCCTCGGTAGTAATGCAGGCGCTCT